ACCTTAGCAAGAGGTGTGCTTTCAGAATAAACCAACTTTTAAAGATAAAATATTCTGCGATCTTGAGCGTAATTTTTATTTCAAAAATATCTAAATTGAAGGCACGTTTGGAAAATACGTCGAAACGATCTAAATATTTTTATAACTACTAGTCCTTGTAACGTTGCATATACCCGTCAAATGCTTCAAAAAAGTGTTCTCTAGAAATGTGTAAAAACACCGATTTACTACTTTTAATTATGCTTGTAGTCAGAATATTTCGAGCGTGGTATCAAATCGAATTTTTTTCGACAAAGGTTCTGATAGTTGCTCTTACTTAATTGGAGCTTTTTAAATTCAATTGCCCGATTGTCTCCACTTTTGGAGATAGCGGTACTTGAAACTTTGCTTATATTTGAACTATTTCATAAAAAAACCAGCTCAGTTTTGAAGATATTTTACTAAAATTTTGCACACGCTAGTATTTTAACATTTCCTGCACTGTCTCATAAAATCACCGAAATCAGTTCACTCTAAAATCTAGCTCCCATACAACTGATTGTCCAGAGATGCTGTTTTGCGTTACAACTCCTCCAATTAAATAGGTAAAAATTTAGTATAGGTTCACTTTAACATATAGCACGCATACAATTTATTAATCAGATATGAAGTTAGAGTTATACGCAAAAACACATATCTGAGTAATCAGTTGTATTGGAGCTATACGTTAAAGTGCACCCATTTCGACAATTTTAAGGAATAACTAAGGTAATATTAAAAAACCGTTATATGCAGAATCTTAGTAAAACAACTTCAAAACTTGGGGAGTTATTTATAAAATAGTTAAAATTTAATCAAATTTTCAAATACCGTTGTCTCGAAAACCGGAGCCAATCTGGTAAAACGGGGGAATTTGAACATTGAATTTAGAACGTTCCAATTAAGTTAGTTCAACTTTCAAAATTTCTGCTCAAAATTTACATCTTGAACAACGTAATTTGAACCCAACTTATTCTTTTGTTTTCTATTTCATGTTTATAACTCGTCTAACTTTTGAAGCACATGATTAAAATGAAGTACACTTATATTAATCGATTCATTAAGAGAGTACGAATAAAATGATATATAAAACATAGGTGTGCTCACAAATTTAAAAATAAAATTTTTTTTTGGAGAGTGTACCTATTTTTTAGATTTGCTCATATACACATGCACTTCTAACAGGAGTTATTGAATTAACAAAATTTCTTACGGCAATTTCCGCTCGTAGAACATTTTTCCAAACTTGCATCTTGCAAATGCTCCATTATCACTTTCTCGGCCTGAGGCACCAATTTCGCACATTATAAATATGTACTCAGCATCAGCCATTGCCATTAATAAAATTGAATTTGTTTTTTTATAATTAAAAAATGTAGTTCCTGAATTCGATGGTGCCTTTAATAGCGTAAAGTATTTTTATGAGTGCGATAAGTTAAAAGAAATTGTAAGTTTATGCACCTTTATTTGGATATGCTTTCCATCCAGTGCTCCAATGCAGTTAGGAAACTGCCACTTATCTTCAAATTACTGAGCTTCTGGATACAAAACTTTAATAATTGTATCAACTGTTTCCGAAATAAATTTACATACTACAGACGGAGAGCATTTGTAACAACTTGCGAGACTTCTCTGAGACTCTCCTGTTTCTAAATATCTAATTATACATACTTATATGTAGGTTTGTTATAGTATATTAATCAGCCCCTTTCGTGGTGAGGTTATAGTTGTATATTCACCTTAGAGTAATAACCAAACGCACCTTTTCAGCGATTGGTTCACGAACTAAATATTCTTTTTTGATCAAGGGGCCGACGAGTCTTAGCAACTCCTCGAACTCTACTACTCCCATACGACAATATTGTTGAAATACAATCGGATCCTTCATTTTCAATTGTTGAAATTGAACCACAAAAGCTCCATCGTAATTCCAATGTTTATAATATGGTCTGATCCAACAAGTCATGTTCTTAATACTTTTCTTTTCCAAAAGATCTAAGATATCGAACTCTTCAAACCCCATTATGTCCATTTTGATTTATCCGGATGATGGAATATATTTCGACATGGTGAAATAAATATAAGGTGATGTAACTTATGCCATGCATTTTGGGGTAGTAGAAAAAGGGCGAAAAGATTAGGATTA